CACTTCCACTCTTCTGTTCCCAAGGACAGTTCAGGTCCCTGGAGTCATCTTTTAAATTAATTAGTTAATGATCTATTTAATTGTCCCCTATAATTTTATGAACATGAAATGTAACTTACTTTCCCTCAGCTTAGCTCTGGTGGGTACACTCTACCATAAAACTTATAACTGTATACTTTCCATGCTCATCTCCAATTTCTCATTCAAAGCCTCTTCTTCATGAAGATTAATTACCTGACAGGAATAAAAGACTTCTTAGAGGAGCCAGATCTTTTCCTTTGGAAAATTTGAAAATCACCAAACAGCACAGAATCTATCTTAAATATGCTATTCTGACTTCTTGAGAGATTGAATAAAAATGTTCAGACATAAGTTGGTAAATAGATATGTTGATAAAATAGAGGAACAATTTTTTTGGCAAACAGCTTCATGATAAATAAAAATTTTGTTATTAAAAATATTGTGTGGGGCGCCTGGGTAGCTTCGTCAGTTAAGCAGCTGCCTTCGGCTCAGGTCATGATCCCAGGGTCCAGGGATCAAGCCCCGCATCAGGCTTACTGCTCAGCAGGGAGTCTGCTTCTACCTCCCTCTGCTCTTGAGCTCTTGCTTGCTCTCTCTCTCTCTCAAATAAATAAATAAAATCTTTAAAAAAATATTGTGCAGAAGAAATTTCTTTCATATTAGAAGAACAAAAATTTTAAGGGGCCTCGATGAAGAGACTAGACTTCAGAAGTTGGATATTAGGAGAAAATGCAATCTAAAGAGAGAAAACAACTTAAAGGAAGGTCTGAAATTGGGATATTGCCAAGCATGTTTGTGGAAAGCCAGTGGTGGAGAAATTAAATGGAAAAGTCTATAAAGGGTCAAATTTTGGTGTTTGATGCCCATGTTGAAGTATTAAAACTCTATTTTTCATATTCTAGGGATTCATTGAAGATTTTTGTATATAGGCAATGACATGATTACATCTGTATATTGTAATGATAACTGAAAGTATGTGAGAAGTTTAGCAGGAAATAAAACCCGGGATCTGATAGTTCCTAAATTGATGTCTTCTGCCCAACCTTTTGCGTGACTCTAGACCCATAAACTGATCTGCTACAGGGCAGTCTCATATACTTACACCAAACTCATCATACCTGAAATAGAGTTTATCAAAGTTACTTGTTTTTCCCATGAACTAAGCTGTGCATGAAGAGCTAAACATACACATGTAATTAAAAAAAAAATTTCTTAAGATGTCAATTTTCCCAAATAACTAGAATTAGGGGATCCAGAGTACTCTACTGGGGCTCTTATGTCCTTGGAATTTAGAATAGTTGAAGATGAGGGATATCACTTGCCAGTAGCTATTAGGGCTTAGATGTGAGGAGAAAAATACAGAAGGCCATGTCTTGAGGTGAACCTCATTTGATCTGGACAGACTTTCCATCCAAGTCAACCTTGTAAAGAGCAATCAGAAAGGGACAATCTGGAAAAGAAGGGAAAACAAATGAAGGCAAGAGGATCTGAAGCAGAGTGGGAAGAATGACCTGGGGCAAATAAAGAGGAAGGCTCTAAGGATGACTGTGGAAACTCTCCATAGAGACTTTCACCCATAGAGCATGGCCAGCACACATGTCCAAATCTCTGTCCTTGCTTGCAGTGTGTTATTCTTTCATCCCCAGTTATTTCCCTGCTTCATTCTATTTCAACTTGTTCTCACTTTGCTTTCCCTGTCATATTTGTGACATCTCAATATATAGGACTTGAAGTTTGAGCTTTCCTTCCACTGATATTGGTTTCTGATTTGTGGTACACACAACTAAGAGTTTTCTAGATCAAAAACCAATATGGAAATGAGGTAGTGCTCTAGTACACTTAGGAGGGCTAAGCCATGCCCTGAACCTTTGTCTTCTTGGCTGGGGCCAGGCATCCTCTAAGCCTTTCTCAAATTCTCTTCTGAGCAAATATCCTTTGCAATCAGGCATTCCCTGGGTCATACTACAAACCACTGACCACTCAGACTTTCAGCACTGAATTCTGCAGAAGATAAGAGCTGTGATACTCTACCATCCACATGCCAAGAGTTGCAGTAAATATTAGGGACTCTGTCTTCCAGGAGTTAACCAACAACAACATATGTCATTACAATATGGTATAATAGGTACAATATATAGAGAGAGATAGGTATAGATATACACACACACATAAATATTGCATTTATATTTTTTTAAAGCTGCATCATGAATTGAGTTCTCAGTCTTGTACATGAGCAGTCACTTCTCTCTAGGATAGCCACATTTGGTCCCAGTGTGGGACCAGTGCCTCAGTGCATATGTATACTTACACACCAATGAGTGACCTAATTCCTATTTAACGTAAGCGTTTTCATTTGGTGAGTAAATTAGAGCTCTGTTATACTGGCAGTAGATGGATACACTGAACTGTAAATTATGCATTGGTTTCTTTCTTTCTTTTTCTTTTCTTTTTTTTTGGTCTCCAGATTTTCACCACTTATTGAACTCACACTCTTATAAATATGAAAAGGGAAGAATTATTTCCCTAGAAGAGAAAAAAAAATGCTAAAATCAAGAAAGCTTCATACAATCTGAATAAAATGGCTGGTTGTAAGGACTTTTGTGATTTCGATGCTTCCATTAGCAATCCCTTACTCCGCACCAAAAAGATCCTATGAAGTTAGAGCTATGGCACTTCCATTGAGGAAGAAGTTGATTCTTCCTTCTTTCCTTTGTGTTGTGAGTATTTAAGGCCTTGGTTTGCATTTAGAGAAACTGTGGGTCTTCCAAAATCAGCTCTTCATATTCAGCGAAAAGTAAAGCATATATTGTAATAATACTATTACCACTGCCTAAGTCATCTTTATATAGTGTTTGACAAATAACAAACTGGTTCTCTAATATTATGTTATTTGATTATTACAGTAGCCCTGTAAAATGAATAGAGTTGATATTTTTATTCCCGTTTTGCTTAGAAGAAAGTCTGGCTTGCTAAAGGCCACACAATTGACAAAATCCACAACTGGCAAAATCCAGATCTAGGATGTTCATACAGATGTATTACTATCCATATTTGGAAGTTTGAGAATTCTTGTATTGTTCAAGAACATTTTTCCCATTTACGGTGTATGAGTCTTCTCCAAGCTCCATATGTCTTTTATTTCCTAGGTTTGTAAGAGGGACAATAACCTACACACTGAGGTTTTCTTACAAGAGAAATATTATTTCAATGCATTGTTCTAAAGAGCTCTATTCTGATTCTGAAGAGAAATAAAACATGCCTTATTTTTACTTTCTTAATAAAGTACTTACAGGAAATGGGAAAACAGACAAAACAAAAACACATCCAAAATAAAGAAAACTTCCATATTTTTTTCTGAAATACTATATCTTGACAGACAACATAGGTCTGTGGATGAAGCCTGAGTTTAGAAGTTAGTTATACTGCCAGACCCAATTCCTCCCACCTTGTTCCAATTTTCCTTTTACCAGTAGCTCTCATCACCTTCTCAGATACCACAAAATTTATACTTTAATTATTTTGACTTATTGTCTTTCCCCTCCAATTTGAATGTAAGTTCCAAGTGGGCAGGGATCTCTCTTTCACACTTTGTGAACACTAGCCTAGTGTCTGGCATATACGAGGAATACAGTAGTTTGCTGATGGAATGAATGAAGACATGCCTCGGTTGGAATTCTCACCTTACCATTTACCAGTAGCAGAAATTTAGCAATTTTATTTAACCTTTCTGAGTATGTGTGTGGTGAAATATACATAACATTTACCATTTTAACCATTTTTAAGTGTACAGTTCTGTGATATTAAGTACATTCACATTGTTTTACAACTATCCCCACTATCCACCTCCAGAACTTCTTTGACTTTCCCAACTGAAACTCTATACCTGTTAAACAACAATCCATTCCCTCCTCCTCTCAGCCCCTGGCAAACATGGGTCTATTTTTTGTCACTCTGAATTAACTCATATTAATGGAATCATACAGTATTTATATTTTTGTGACTAGCTTATTTCACCTAGCATACTGTCCTCAACATTCATCCATGTTATAGCTTGTGTCAGAATTTCTTTTTTTTTTTTTAAGCCTGACTCATATTCCACTGTATGTATATACCACATTTTGTTTATCCATTCCTCTGTTGATAGATACTTGGGTTGCTTCCACCTTTGGCTATTATGAATAATGCTGTTATAAACATGAGTATACAAGTAACTGTTTGAGTGTCTGTTTTTAATTATTTTGGCTATGCACTCCAAAGTAGAGTTGCTCGATCATATGATAATTCTATTTTTAATTTTTTAAGAAACCACTATACTGTCTTACAAAGTGGCTGCACCACTTTCATTCCCACCAGCAACGAACAAGAGTTCTGATTTCTCTACATCCTTGCTAATACTTGTTATTTTCTTTTTGGTTTGTTTGATTGTTTTTTTTAATACTAGCCATCTTAATAAATGTGAAGGAAATCTTTCCAAACTTTAATAGCTTCATCTACACAGTGAGGATATACACAGAGACTTATTGACTATCACAATTCTAGCTCAGAGTGGGTGTTAACCGAAAGGAGAATTTCTTTTGTTTACTGCTATATTTGGGAAGAAAATTTCCACATAAATATTGAGAGTCACTTCCACTTTTCCTATTACTATCTAAAATTCACTCAGAGTGGCATAGACATAAATCAGACATAACATATAGGAAAAAATAGAAAGTCTTATTTTTAATTTTTTCTCTTTTCACCCATGAAAGAGACTACTACTGCCTGGATCCAATAGAAAGAGTCCAAATAATTACAAACTGAGACATAACTTTAGTGATTTATATTTTCTTTTAGTGAGAAAGACTTGTGAGTAAAATTAAAGAACTTAGGACAATCTGATTCATGTATGAAAATACTACCCTTTTACTAAAATATCGTATTATTTCAGCTGATCAAATTGTTGATTCACACATTTAAAAAAAATCACAGAAATTGGTTACCTGATTCAGTGAACTATTATTTGATTGATTTCACCATCTTGTTATTTAAGAAAAGTTATGATTCTCTCTGTCCCTCTGGAGATTCATGCTTGGCCTAGATGTAATAAACAAAATTTTTGGTGCTTAAGGAACTTTATTCAATTTAACTCATTTTAATTCAGCAGAAGTTTATCAAACCAATGTCATGTACAAAGCATATATGGAAAACAAAAAGATTCAACATGTACTTTTAAGAGCTTGTGATCCAGATGAGTAAATTGGTTAATCATTATTTTAACAGTTAATAAAATACTGAGAGGATTAGATCAATATGGCAGGATGAATATACAATTCTACCTCTTCATATGCCTAAGTTACCATAAAAGAAAATAAAAATAATATCTACTTATATGTCTAACTATATCTATACCTATATCTACCCATGAATATAGTATGAAAGGGAATATAATAATCTTTAACAATTTCAAAATACTTAAGAGAATTGGATCAATATGGAGAAAGGAATACATAGATCTAGCTGCTATTTTGTCTAAAATGTCACAAACTAATATCACTATATCTAAAAATATCTATATTTAAAATAATAAATCTATAGTTATTTTTGAAAATAGGAAAGAAATCTGTAAGTAGTTACATAATTTGAAGTATTTCTACACCATATCACTAAAGAGCTTATCATAAACATAACTAGAAGTCATATTCTAGTAGATAGGGTTACTTGAATATAAAATTTTCAGAAAACAAAAGAATTACCAATAATTTCAGGAAAATCAAAACCAAGAAACTTCATGAAAGCAAACAATAACCGTAAAAAGAGAACAACAACATAAAAGAGACAGATAAAATAAATAAAACAAACTTTTAAAAGTATCCTCAGCTCTTTGAGAATTCTGTATCCACAAAAAAGGAAACAGACTTTGTAGATTTGAAAGCTAAGGAAGTTGAAGTGTTTTTAAAAAAGCTCTATAGGGCAGAGCAAGACGGCAGAGGAGTAGGCAACCTGGATTTCGTCTGGTCTCAGGAATTCAACTGGATAACTATCACAATTCTAGCTCAGAGTGGGTGTTAACCGAAAGGAGAATTTCTTTTGTTTACTGCTATATTTGGGAAGAAAATTTCCACATAAATATTAAGAGTCACTTCCACTTTTCCTATTACTATCTAAAATTCACTCAGAGGGGCATAGACATAAATCAGACATAACATATAGGAATTCTGAACACCTACAAACTCAACAGGAGATCGAAGAAAAGAATAGCAACAACTCTCTGAACAGAAAAGCGACCACTTTCTGGAAGGTAGGATGTGCGGAGAAGTGAATCCCAGGCGATATGCGGGAGGATAGACGGCGGGGGAGGGGCCTCCGTCGGCCGCTTCTGGCAAGTGATAGAGCCGCGGAGCACAAAATCGGAACTTTTAAAAGTCTGCTCCGCCTAGGGACGTCACTCCGGTGGCTAAGCGGGGGGTGCAACCCTCCGGGACAGTGGGGTCTCAGGACCCTCGGGGTCACAGAAAGACCGGGGGTGCCTGAGTGTGGCAGAGCTCCCAGGGATCGGAGCCGGGAAGCCGGCTGCAGAGGCAGAGCCCAGGCGCGGGCTCTCAGCTCGGGGTGGCCATAAACCGTGATCCGCGGCCCAGTCGGGCCCCTGCTCCTCCAGCAGGGACCCAACAAGCGGCAGATCCGGGGAGACTCACCTTCCTCCCCCGGGAGGAGCCGCGCGGGAGTGCACACAGGGATCTGCTGGGTTTGGAGACTCCACCCGGGGTTGGGTGCCAGAGATAGAAACGCGCAGTCACAGGCCGGGCGAGCACAGAGTGCGGCCAGAGACCGGGGAGCCGGGAGTGACTGACGGCTTTTCTCTGGGGGCTCACTGGGGAGCGGGGCCCCGAGTTCTCAGCTCCTCCAGGGCGGAGATTGGGAGGCCGCCATTTTCACTCTCCGCCTCCAAAGCTGAACGGAAAGCTTGCAGGGAACAAAGGCTCCTGAAAGCAAACCCGAGCAGATTACTTAGCCCAGACCGGGCAAGGGCGGGGGCAGTTCCGCCTCCGGCAGAGACATTTGGAAACCACGGCAACAGGCCCCTCCCCAGAAGATCAGCGAGAACAGCCGGCCAAGACCAAGTTTACCGATCAATGAGAACGGCAGAACTCCAGCGATAGGGGAATACTGCACATAGAATCCATGGCTTTTTTACCATGATTCTTCAGTCTTTCAAAGTTAATTTTTTTAACTGTCTTTTTTTTTTTTTGAATTTTTCTTTTTCCCTTTTTCAACCAACATCTTATCAATCCCTTTTTAAAAAAACTTTTATTTTTCATTTTTACAGTCATATTCTATCCCTTTATAGTAGTTACCCTTATTTTTGGCATATATATATAAGTTGTTCTCTCTTTAAAATTTTGAGATAGTTTCTTCTAACAGATCAAAATACACCCTAAATCTCTAGTGTATGGTTTTGTTCTACTCTCCTGCCTGATCACATTCTCTCCCTTTTTTTTTCTTTTTTTTTAAATCCTCTTCTTTTTTCAAACAACTTCTTGTCAATTCCTTTTATAAAATTTTTTATAATTTTCATCTTTACAGTCATATTCCATCCCTTCATCATATCAACCCTTATTTTGTACATATATAAGTTTTTGTTTCTTTAAAATTTTGGGAGGCACTTTCTTCTAACAGACCAAAATACACCCAAAATCTAGTGTGTGGTACTGATCTATGCACCAGCCTGATCATATTTGATCATAATCTGGTTTTTTTGTTGTTTTGTTCTGTTTTTGTTTGTTTTTATCTTTTTCTTCTTCTTTTTTTTTCTTTTTCTTTTTTCTTTCTTTCCCTTTCTTTTCCCCCGGCTTCAGGTCTTTTCTGATTTGTTTAGAGTATATTTTCCGGGGACATTGTTACCCTGTTAGCATTTTGTTCTCTCATTCATCTATTCTCCTCTGGACAAAATGTCAAGACGGAAAAAATCACCTCAACAAAAAGAACAAGAGGTAGTACCGACTGCCAGGGACCTATCAATACGGACATTAGTACGATGTCGGATCTAGAGTTCAGAATCATCACTTTAAAGATACTAGCTGGGCTTGAAAAAAGCATGGAAGTTATTAGAGAAACCCTTTCTGGAGAAATAAAAGAACTAAAATCTAACCAAGTTGAAATCAAAAAGGCTACTAATGAGGTGCAATAAAAAATGGGGGTGCTAACTGCTAGGATAAATGAGGCAGAAGAGAGAATCAGTGATATAGAAGACCAAATGATGGAAAATAAAGAAGCTGAGAAAAAGAGAGATAAACAACTACTGGATCATGAGGGCAGAATTCGAGAGATAAGTGATACCATAAGATGAAACAACATTAGAATAATTGGGATCCCAGAAGAAGAAAGAGAGAGAGGGGCAGAAGGTATATTGGAGCAGATAATAGCAGAGAACTTTCCTAATTTGGGGAAGGAAACAGGCATCAAAATCCAGGAAGCACAGAGATCCTCTCTCAAAATCAGTAAAAATAGGTCAACACCCCAACATCTAATAGTAAAACTTACGAGTCTCAGAGACAAAGAGAAAATCCTGAAAGCGGCTTGGTAGAAAAGATATATAACCTACAATGGTAGAAACATTAGACTGGCAACAGACCTATCCACAGAGACCTGGCAGGCCAGAAAGGACTGGTAGGATATATTCAGAGCACTAAATGAGAAAAATATGCAGCCAAGAATACTATATCCACATAGGCTGTCATTGAAAATAGAAGGAGAGATAAAAAGCTTCCAGGACAAACAAAAACTAAAGGAATTTGCAAACACAAAACCAGCCCTATAAGAAATATTGAAAGGAGTCCTCTAAGCAAAGAGAGAGCCTAAAAGCAACATAGACCAGAAAGGAACACAGACAATATACGGTAACAGTCACCTTACAGGCAATACAAAGGCAGTAGATTCATATCTTTCAATAGATACCCTGAATGTAAATGGGCTAAATGCCCCAATCAAAAGACACAGGCTATGAGATTGGATTAAAAAACAAGACCCATCGATATGCTGTCTGCAAGAGACTCATTTTAGACCCAAAGTCACTCCCAGATTGAAAGTGAGGGGGTGGAAAACCATTTACCATGCTAATGGACACCAAAAGAAAGCTGGGGTGGCAATCCTTATATCAGACAAATTAGATTTTAAACCAAAGACTGTAATAAGAGATGAGGAAGGACACTATATCCTACTTAAAGGGTCTATCCAACAAGAAGATCTAACAATTGTAAATATCTATGCCCCTAACATGGGAGCAGCCCATTATAGAAGGCAACTAATAACAAAAGCAAAGAAACACATCGACAACAATACAATAATAGTGGGGGACTTTAACACCCCCCTCACTGAAATGGACAGATCGTCTAAGCAAAAGAACAACAAGGAAATAAAGACTTTAAATGACACACTGGACCAAATGGACTTCACAGACATATTCAGAACATTCCACCCCAAAGCAACAGAATACACATTCTTCTCTAGTCCCCATGGAACATTCTCCAGAATAGATCACATCCTAGGTCATAAATCAGGTCTCAACCGGTACCAAAAGACTGGTATCATTCCCTGCCTATTTTCAGACCACAATGCTTTGAAACTAGAACTCAATCACAAGAGGAAAGTCAGAAAGAACTCAAATACATGGAGGCTAAAGAGCATCTTACTAAAGAATGAATGGGTCAACCAGGAAATTAAAGAAGAATTTTTAAAAATTCATGGAAACCAATGAAAATGAAAACACAACTGTTCAAAATCTTTGGGATGCAGCAAAGGCAGTCCTAAGAGGAAAGTATATAGCAATACAAGCCTTTCTCAAGAAACAAGAAAGGTCTCAAGTACACAACCTAACCCTACACCTAAAGGAGCTGGAGAAAGAACAGTAAATAAAGCCTAAACCCAGCAGGAGAAGAGAAATAATAAAGATCAGAGCAGAAATCAATGAAATAGAAACCAAAAGAACAGTAGAACAGATCAACAAAACTAGGATCTGGTTCTTTGAAAGAATTAACAAGATTGATAAACCCCTGGCCAGACTTAACAAAAAGAAAAGAGAAATGACCCAAACAAAT